GCCATGTTTCGCTGCCGTAAATTAAAACAGAACGGACTGCCGTGCAGTATACTCGTCTTTTTATTGATAGACGGATATCTCGCCTTCGCCATAGGTGGCGCAAGTTGGCAAAAGCCAATCGAGCTTTTCGAATCCGTGCTGAGATTTCGTCCGATACCAACCCATTAGGGCTGATCAGACTTCCAAGATAAGTGAAGTTGTCAACGCGTTCGACTACTTCACTCCCTATCCTTAGTTCAGGTGTTAACGCAGACCAGTCCTGAAGCAACAACTTGCATTTAGAGGGAGAGAAGCGCATTCCAAACATTCTGGCATTGTTGCTCAGTGCTACCAGAAGACTCTGCATTTTGTCAATGTCTTCACCAAACAGGACTATGTCATCTGCGTATTCTAAGTCGATAAGTGGACCTCCTGGAAAGAGATCAATACCCGAGAACTCAGTCGACGAGAAAGTTATTTCCATCAGTAGATCTATGATGAAGTTAAACAAAAATGGGGAAAGTGGACAGCCTTGACGGACACCACTTGAGGTTGCAAAAGTAGATGACAGTTCGCCATAAGCTCTGACTCGACTAGTAGTGTTCGAGTAAAGAGCCTTCACAAGGTTTATGTACTTCTGGGGTACGCCTTTCAATGACAGACACTGCCACAGAATCTCGCGGTCTACCGAGTCAAATGCTGCTTTTAAGTCAAGAAAGACCACCATTGTCGGACGCCGATAAGTATGCCTGTGTTCTAGAATCTGACGAATGGTGAATATGTGGTCGATGCAGCCACGACCAGGTCTAAAGCCAGCTTGGTTCTCTCGTGTTTGCAGTTCACGAGTCTTAGTTAGGCGTCTGATAATTATCGAGGCTAGTATTTTAGATATTATATTAGTTAGACTAATCCCTCTGTGGTTGTCACAGGATGATTTTGACCCTTTCTTATATATTGGGACGATAAGTGATTGCGACCAGTCAGATGAAATAACGTCTAACTCCCAGATCTTAGCTAAAATATTAGTCAACCTAATCGCTAAAATTGGACCACCATCCTTAAAGACCTCTGGATCCAATCCATCTGGACCAGCTGCCCTTCCTCGTTTTAGATTAACTATAGCCTTTTGAACTTCAGCAAGAGTTGGGGGACCTACTTCAATGTTCCATTCACACTGTCTGGGAATGGAGGGTAGTTGTAGAGTAGCTGAAGGCCAGCTGAACTGTTCTCTGAAATGTTCCGCCCATCGTTCTAAACGCCTGGACTGGGAGCAGATGAGTGTATCGTCTTTTTCCGATATAATCTCACTTACACTTGACTTATTAATTCCAGTTTCTTTTATTAGTCTGTAAAGCTGTCTTGTGTTCCCTATAGTCGCCGCCTTTTCCATCTCTTTTGCTTTCGTTGCCCACCATTGCTCACGGTCGTTTCTTAGACTTTTTCTTAACCTAGATCTGATTTGTTGTAGCTCTTCATCATGTTCGGAACCTGATGGGACGAGTTTGCGAGAATCCATCAGTGTGATAGACTTTGAAGAAATCCACTGGTTCTTTGAAACTCTGTGGTTTAAGTTGCTAATAGATGTCACTGCTGCTTCCACAGCTGCTTGTATATCTTTCCAAGCAACATCTGGGTCAGCCTCGTCTTCAGAACTACCTAATCGTGACCTCAGTTGTTCCTGGAACCTACTTTTGGTTTCCTCGCTACTCAGTTCGGTTCTATTGGGTCTTTTTACTGTGGCTTTTTTGCGTCCAGTGAGGCGCAAGCAGATGCGTGCCCGTATTAGGGCATGGTCGGAGTCCAAGCAGGTACTCCAGAATGAGCGACAACCTTCTACCGACCCTCTCCAACGACGATTGATGGCAATATGGTCTATTTGAGTCCATCGCTGGTTTGGTGCAGGCGGTCGCCGCGTTAGACGATGTCTCCCTTATGCTTAAAATTTGTGTTTGCTAAAAATAAGCGATTGTCTGAGCACAGTTGCAGCAGACGATCATCATTATCTGTTCGCTGTGCCGGAATGCTAAAATATCCACCTAAATGCCTTTCTGTCTGGTTTAAGCTACCTATCTGAGCATTAAAGTCACCCCCTACGAGTACTATGTCTGAGCGTTTAGCTTTCTGAAGAAGTTCGGACAGCTTTCTGTAAAATTCATCTTTCACATCATCTGAGCTGCAGTCAGTGGGAGCGTAGGCAGAAACGACGAAAAGGAAACGACGTGTGTCCCTATCCTTCCGAGTTCTTACGGGGCCGTTTAGCCGAACAGCACATAGACGACTGTTGACGGGGATCCACTCTAGCAGTGCTTGTTCCGCCTTCATGCTTAGTGCTATGCCTACACCTGCCAGTCCACGAGAACTGGCCATTGGGTCACCAGATACACGTAGGGTGTATCTCGTTGGCTCTCCGTTTTGCCGAGGTGAGGTCAAGTGAATGACCACACTGGAATCCTGTATGCGTGTTTCGGAGACACAGCACACATCAATGGAAAGAGACTCTAGGGTTTTAGCCAAGGAAGCCTGCTGACCGATTTGACATAGAGTGCGTACGTTGAAAGCGCCAATGTGTAGTTTGGAGCGAGGTTTCAGTAGACCTGGGATAGAGTTTTGAGCACTAGAATCGTTGGCTATGGTGACACTTGAGGAGGAAGCCGAAGGAGGAAGTTTAGGGTTGAAAGTCGATGTAGAAGGAATAATAGGAATTGAAGAGGAAGGTTGATTATGAATACAGTGGTCTTGGGTGCTGTTAGAGGTATGAGGGCGGTTACCACTTCCCGGTTGCCCACACCGTGGAAGGGTTTTTCTGGAGGTACCTGAAAAGGAAATTGGATTAGAGGCGGTCTCAGTGACCTGAGAGCGTGACCGCAGTGCCCAAGGGGCAACTGCTTGAGGCCGGTCACACACGACCTTTTTGTGGAAGGTTTTTGACGTGTTAGCTCCGTTCTTCAAAGGGCCTTACCGCCGGAGACGGAAATCCGTGAGGTAAGGTGAGGTGCGCATTTTTAGGGTCGGCCTTTTCTAACCCCACCCCTCCTTGTGGGAAGGCAGCATCGCTGTTATGCTGGTTGTCCGAGGGAAACACCTTACTGCTGTCACACCTCTGTACAGTCAGCAGTACGACTTCGCCATCGGACCTTGGGTTTGTTGCTTTTAGTCTTACCGCTCTTCAACCGACCTGTCTGACATGGTAGGACCTTGAGGAACGGTTGTTCCAGCCAGTATAGCTCGGTTGCTTCATCACGATAGGCAAGCCCGACCACCACGTCAAGGTAGCAACAACGGTCGGGATTAACTACTTCCATGAATCCGGTGTCCATCCTGTTGTGTTAATGAGGTATGGCAACTTGAACTGATGAATAAATGTGCCTAGTCCTACGTTGTAGCTGACTGACTGACGGACTGATTGAACCAAAACTAAGAAACGAAAAAAGCAACCGAGATGTTTTCGTGAATCGAACCAAGTGTGGTTCGGACAAAATATATACAGAACCAAAGTACGAATCACAAAAATTTTCAGAACACCTGACACAGGTAGCTAACTCTATCAAATGAAAACGTAGCCAATGCACAAATTTTGAATAGTCAGCGAATGAAGGACTTAGCCAAATGAGATTATACATGAAAAAACCATAACACAAAACCAGAACAGTCACCTAAATCATCTATGAGTGTTTGGCCGGTATGTATTTTTTAGTGTCAAGTACTGAAGGGATTAGTGACAATTAGTAGTGAAGCGCAAAGACAGGTCATAGTTGCAGTCAAAATCGACGACACCGTGAATTCCAGACGACGCTCTTCAGCAACAGCCGAATTCCACCATCAGGAAAATATTAGGTGAATCCATATTGTACACATTGATGTACCTAGACATCCACATACATCGAAGGGCCTAAGAATTATGGATAATAAGAGGCTGAATCTGATCTGTTACTCATAAATACCTTCAAAAGAGGATGGTTGACAAACCTAGAGGAGCATTATTGACGTTCGAGAGTAATATAACATACAAATGAGTGAAACGATATCCGGGCAATATTTAAGCTGCAACTTTACAGCTGATGTAGGACAAAATGAAATTCATTGCAATCGAAAGAACCAAATAACAAACAGAAATGGAGCCAAAAGCACACGGAAAATTAATAAAATTGAGACAAGAGCTTAAAAAATTAGGATGAACATAGTAACTCAGTCCACATAAATAAAATACTTCATCATTTAAAGCCTATTAGATATTTTCGAAATCCCTTGTTGACCATAGTAGCATGTTAATTTGCACCACTATCCTACTCTACCGCACAACAAACAAATTAATGTTAAGGGAAAGAGAAAAACGAAGTGTCAAGTGACAGAAAGTACACTTGAAATGTAGGGTCTGAAAGACACTGTATACTTGGCCGACATATTCTTAACCTAAACTTATACCTGACCAGTTTTATAGAGCGTGCCGTTTCGAAGTCCTATTTGGATGTTTACGAATCACCGATTCCGGGTTGCATATTAAACAAGTTAAGTTCTTCATTTTCACCACGCCCAAAGCATAATTCTTTCCAATAAACAAGTAGTGATTGACGAGTCACACGGAACTATACCTGACTGCTCTAAAAAGTGGGTGAGCACAGTGGACGGAGTAAGGTTGGGTGGTTAGCATTGGTCATATAACATTCTCATCATACACAAGTAGTGCCCTTAGAATACCATATGTACCGAAGCACTTGTGACCCAAGCATTTCCTCTTGCTTCATCAATCATGTTTCATGTTTGTAAAGTGATGCAGAGCAGAATTCTATGTAGTAGATCCTTTTTAATCTAATAAAACTGCATATACAATAATGAGTAAGGTTAACGCACTGTTGCTTAGCCCTAGAAACCCAACACGTTTATTTCGTCTAGCAAGCCATATAAACATATAATTTTCAATACATCGCGTAGATAGATAACATCAAATATGATCTCTTTTCTGAAAACAGAACGAAGACAGTGAACCTGCTAGAAGTGTACTGTTCAGCCTTGTGTATGCTTACGTTTAGCCTGAAGGTTTCTTGTGTTGGAGGAGTGTTATAAACACCAGCTAGAATGCTAAAATGCTATCTAGCTAAATGAATAAGTGAGTCTCGCGCCAAAATCCAACTCCTGTTACTTTAAATATGATTGGTTCGTCTATAAGTTATAGTCTCACCGAGAAAATAACAGGAAAAAATTGAGCTGACGACTCATTATGTACAGAGAATGCACTTACATTTAATAAGGAAGTCAATTGACAACAATCATAAATAACGCGAGCGTGCGATTAAGACAATCTGATAATAGGGACAACAAGTTGATAGTGCGAGGTTAGAAGTTGTAAGTAACGTCGAACTTGTATGTGTGCATTCTGCGTTCAATGCTCTATGTACTCCACAACCTTCAGTCTCCAGTATTTTGGAGAGAAGGTAAATCAACTGTGTTAACCCTTGCACCTTGAAATAACGTAGAGACCTAATCTCGTCTTGAATTTTCCAACAGAAAAGGGTGACATTACATGTTGTGGCAGAGAATTTCATTAATGCATTACTCAGTGAGAGAAAATAAAATTCCAGAAGTAAACGATTTAATCTCGGTGTTTGAACATTTTGAGAATGTCCTCCTAGGTGATAAGCCTTAGACTAGTGGAAAAGACAGAACATCTTAGTTCCAAACTCGTCGTTCAGTATATGGTAGACCAGTGTAGCGGTAAATAAATCCCCAAAATAAATAGCTCTGTAAGTTTTCAACATTGGATGCTGACCATATGTTTTGGTGGACTCATCTAGCTGAAGGCGCTCGGTCATACATGCGCACCAGATCACGTGTGGTAACGCTGTGCTCAACATCTACCACAATCGCTAGCCAGATTAGATCAGAGAATTCCGATATATTGGTAATTGCCAAATACACTCTTCCGATCTCCTCGACTCTGTCTTTTGATTTCTCTTGGTGGGTACGAATTATATTAGGTGTTACTGGTAGAAGCGTTGTCAAACACTGAATACCTGTTCCATCTATTAGTGGAGAAGCAGAGCAGACAATGTTCATGAAGGAATAGTTGATGTATGACTACTCAATCTAATTCTCTTTTATTAAGGTATTTATTTATCTTAAGCACTCTGATAAGTTAAAGAAAATAATTTTGAACGAGGCATAAAGCGATAAACAACTGACAAATACAGGAGGTTCATAAAGAAGCTGAAAGTATGTGATTATGTGTAGTCATAAAATGTAGTGCTGATAACAATATTCTGATACAAAAATGGCTGTCTCCTTCTTTTTCGAAGCTATTTGAGCCTTTTTTTGTAGACTTTATAGGGTCTTGAGCAGGCTTCATTTTCAGCGAATTGTCTATTTTGCTTGTAATAGGATTACTCGGTAGGAAGTGAAAATAATTCAGCGTTCTAAACGCGATTTATTGAGGTGTTTTGCTTAATAAATCAGCATCAATACGATTGGTTCGTGACATTCAACTAAAGCATAAGGAGCTGTAATAAAACAAAATGTTCTGCCCTACAGACATGGGTGGATGGAAGTTATCTGGTCAGTAACGCCACCGTCCCTCTTTTTTGTGATGTTAGGCTCTCTTACGTTTGCTTTAATCAAAGTTCATAGTTGGAATATACTGTTTCTACTAGTTCCATGTAACAAGTAAATCAGACGGTTAAAGCGTTTGTATTATGGGTTAGATATCCATTTCGTATATCACACTGCTATGAAGATAACTAATGGTATAACTATAAAACACTGGTCAGATTATATGTGGTCAGCACTAATAGCAAACCAAAGGATATGAAAGAGTCTAAGATTGTAAAATTTTCAGGGTGAGGAAAATAAAACACTGAGCAACTTACAAGAATTTAGGACATTTTTGGGGCTTCTTATGATCAGCCTTAGTTGATCAGCACCCATAGGATAAGTGGGTTATCTGTCTCTTAGTAATAGAAAAAAAGACATGATACTTAGGAAGAATAATGTATCTTTAACCATTAGAGAGATTTGGAACCTGAAAATGACGATTAAGAGCATAAGTCTTTGATAAATAATCAGTGAATAATAGGAGAGGACAAACCATGTGTTCTGTAATTTAGTTAGTTATAATAAAATGCTTCATTAGTGGGCTGGGTTTCAATAAATAGTTGAAGCTCTTTAGAATCTAGTAATAGGGTTATTGGCCCTTTGAATTCGGTAAATGTGTCACAGTTATGGAGAGGTATTGGCAACTTGTTCCACAATAAACTATACCGCACTGTAAAAAACTTAAAACGCATTTGTTTTTGGTGTTCTACAGTGAGTGGTGTATATGCACTATTTCTTAGCCTACAGGTTGGGTCATGGATAACAGTTAGGTAGGAGGTTAGATATGATAGTCCACATACTTCTTTATAAAGGAATATTAGATTCTTCCATAGCCTACGGTGCCATAAAGGTTCTAAAGAAAGGTGCTTACATCTATCTGTTTAATCGAGTGTGGAGTTGCTTCCTAGCAGTTAACGTGTGAAGCGTCTTCGGACGTCATCTACTCTTATCTTGTCTGCGGTATTCATATTAGAAAAGATAAAAGAGCATTATTCAAGAGTGGGTCGTGACGGAATTTTGTAGAGAGTAAGTTTAGTCTCTGTTGTGAAGAAATTTCTCGTTATCAAACCAATTAGCCGTCTACATTTAAAATAATAGAAGAGACATGTTCTTCAAAGTTCAGGCTTTCTGTGTAATTGATTCCTGGAAATTGTACTGATTTGAGTATCTGGACTCTACTTTTATTTAAGCAAAGTCGCGTGATCATGAGTACACGCTACGGTCTCTGAAGTTGGATTGCATTCATCCATGTTCTGCAAGATTCATAGCATTTTATTCATTGATTATAGGATGATTACCCACCGAAAGCACTAAGTAATGTCTAACTTGTAGGTTTGCCAGCGTCCAATAATTTAAATTAATGAGGAACGGAATAGAAGAAGCTTCTGATTGAAGGGTTTCAATATCCAGTGGCAGACTATCATCGACGTCTTCATGTTGGAACTAGGCATATTAAACAAGCAAAAGAAAAATCTTACTTAATTCTGGTGAATCTCAGCCCTGATTCCTTAAGAATATGTGAATTTTCCTTTTGAAGGACTTGCAGCGGTAAATAAATTCCCAAAATCAGTAGCTCTGTAAGTCTTCGACATTTGATGCTGACCGCATTAGTTTTAGTGGGTTCACCTAGTTGAAGGCGCTCAGACATGCATCCAACTAGATCACGAGTGAGTACGTCGTGCTTCGCTTCTCCGACGACCGCTAGTCAGCTTAGGCTGATCACTTCTCGATATACCAATATTTTATCAGATATATTTTCGAAACTCTTCGCTTCCAACTTCTGATTTCACTGGGTTGGCACGTTTCCATTATAAAAGGTGTTACTGGTTATGGTGCCATCCGATCAATCAATCAATTCATTTCCAATCAATGTTACTGCGTCTACCATTATCGACCTTCTCTTAGTGTTACATATTGAAAGTCTATTTTCCAAGCTATCTCATGTTCGGCTTTGAAGGTTGTGGTTAGGATCGAATGCCACTATACTACTCTCCCACCAGAATCAACGTGACGTTGGTACAATACCGAATTGAGTGGGATTGTCGCTCGACGGAGCTCACGAATAATAACAAGAATCCTACGGGTTCTGATAAGCTGAAAGATAAATCAGAAGGACGGCGGCAGAAACTGATCGGAAAATACATGTAATGACTTCATAATTTTTGTTTTAATCCTTAACACACTTAACATGATAACCCACATGAGTATTATTTATACGTCAAGTTAAGTGGGATTATGACAATCAAGAACGATTTAGTATAGGGATATATTAAGAAGTCACATTAAATCGCACACTAATAGCATTTTGTTAATGGCTCAAGTTGTAGGCCGTTTAAGTAATTGCAAAACGTTTGTTTTTATTCTTAACACGTGAAAAATAGAAATGTAAGTGAAGATTATATTTGAGTTGAACAAAGTGGGACTATAAAAATTGAAAATGCTTGTGTATAGATATTTTAATAAGTCGCCGTAAGATTATTAGCAATAGCCGCTGGTCAGTAATTAAATTTATGGGTATTTCAAGTATTTTGTGTTTAGAAATATTAAAAACAATCAATATGTTAATATTAGTATTATATTTGATTTAAACGATAAAGTCGGTTGACGTTTATGCCGGTACACTGTACGAGCTGATTACCAATTGCATCTGCATTAGTGGGCTAATTGAAGGAAAAAAGTATAACCGTGAGAAAGAATTCCAACAAGTGTTCCAGTTGGTTAATTTAGTTTATTTGGTCACGGGGATATTTTCTCGACCTTATTATTACTTAACAGTGATGTAGTTTAGTAATACTGCTAATACATATGAATGGTTACCAAAAACGTTTTAGTGCATGTAAAGTGATAATTATGTGAGCAGTTCGTTAAACATGAGTATATTTGTGAGAGACATCCTCTAGGCTCAATGTTCTGATTTGCCATAGACTATTTATTTATGTTCTCTGGACATTCGCTTTTTGTCCTCTCAATTTCGTAAACAACACCCCAGCCGCAAGAAGGCAGTGAGTAGGACTTCCCTGGCAGTGGTTGTATGCACGTGACCATGTGAGAGCATTTCGAGAGCGAGAGCTGCCTCTTCCAAATCCCGTCCGTACCAGGGCATTTAGGGCTCTCTAACCGGGTTGGTAGACACAGAAAGTCTACCTAAGGGCGTCCGAAAACCCTGATTCCAAACCAATGGTGCACATGGGCTCGAGGATCCTGAGGGAACAAGTATATGTGTCAAGTATTGGTCACCGACTACCATCGGGCTGCATCTCCTAACGTTGCTCTACTGCCTCGTGGATTTGACATTCAGGTCAAAGGCTACGGGTGTAGCTCCAATGGGGACTTGTTGGTCGCAGGACAGATAACGGGGACCGTCTACTGCAACTATGCACAGACCACAACCTGTTTCTGGCTAGCACTAACTTGCGACACGGTCATCGCCGATGTGCCACCTGGCATCCTCCCTCTACATCTCAAGCCTGGAATCAGATTGATCACATCGCGATCAGCTACCGCAGGCGTGGTTGTGTAAAAGACTGCCGCTCCTTTTGGAGTACCTATCTGGACTCTGACCATGCCATGGTCTGAGCCAATCTTGCCTTACTTTTCAGTGGCCAACGACTCGATCGTCATCAACGGGTTGGTGTCAGCGAATTGGTTGCAACTGCATGACCCCATCAAAATGGCGAGTAAAAATGCTTGCGGCTTTGCGGAACGTTCCGCTTATAAGCACTAGGTTTCTTCAGGCTCCTTACAACTCACTGAAGCCCGTCGATCAACTCCAGGTGACCGTGAGTTTGACGAC